CGTCATCCGGGACGCCCATTGGTCTGTGGGGGCGGGGCTTGGCAGCGGAGCGCCGCCCGATTGGCCAAGGTGCGGGACGCGGGCTCCTTCGGGGGCGGGCGCTGAAGCCTGTATGCCGCCACTTTGGAACAGGGAGAGAAGGCGGCTTGGGCGCTGCTTCTGAGGGAGGAGACGACGCGGCGGCCATACGCCATGTTAAGAAATGGCATCCTCCCTTTTTCTTTCCTTTTTTAAATCCTCCCAGTTTGCCAACTTGTTCCAGAAGCTGGAATAAAGTTACAAAGCTGGTGACGTGTGCCGGAGCCCAGGAGCTGACAGGGATTCAAACCCTGGAGGTCATTTGGAGGAACAGGGCCTGTGGCATCATCCTCCACCCACCCCCTTCAGCCATCACCCTTCCTCCTGCACTTGGGTGCTGCCATCATCCCAATCACTGGGTGAGGCAAGGACATTCCCCAGGAAGAGGAGACCGGGGCAGGGCACCCCCCTTCTTTGCAGGGCTAAATGGTTTGGTCTGGAATGAGCCATCAAGAGCCATTGACCGACAAAAGACCCACCCATGGAAGGATCCAGATCCAGCAGCATCCCTGCCTCTTGAGAGCCACTAGGGCTTCCTGCCTCGCAAGAGTGAGATGTCCACACAACAAGTTCTTGGACAAGCCTGCACCTCAGACACCAGCTCCATGGTTACTGGAAACATTTACACGTTTACAGAGTTAATAAATTTCGTGTAAACAGTGCAGTGTTTACACAATGGCTCACCCAGTTGTAACAGAATACACAGCGAGAGTTTAGCCAAAGGTGTGTGCTTGGACACAGGAAAAGCATTATGAAAAATTAAAAACTAGGAGGTCTTCTCAGTGCGACAAGATTATTTCCAGGGTGGTGTCATGGACTAAGTGTCAAGCTGGGACTCTGTAAACATGGGATCAAATCCCACGTCAGCCATAAAAACTCACTGGGATGTGTGTGTGGTGGAAGCAAGAGAGCTGGTCCTTCAATATCTCACCCGGAAAGCCCCATTAGGGTCACAATGGGTTGACTCCGACTTGATGGCACCTTATATTACTTGTCATAGGACCTCTCTATCTGAGGAGGAGGGGATTAGTTCCATCCCTCCAGTAGATGCTGAAAAACGTGGATAATAGCTAACACTAGTGAATGCATGGTCTCTGGCTCCCTCTGATGAGTCTTTAGAATTATAGATTTCTAAGATGTTTCTTCTAATGCTTTTAATATTTTCAGGCCATGGATAAATAAATCAGCGGATATTGATACTGCAGATAAAGGGTCCCCATATTACAGTTAAAAAATTCAGCAGTAAAAGAAAGAAGAAATAAAGCTGAAAGATTTTGCTCCCTG